TCTGCACTGGCAGTGTAGAGCCTGCTTGGGAGTCTCTCTCTCAACCTTGCTTTCTGCCCTTCCCACACTCATGCTCAAGCTCTCCCTTTCTCGAAAAAAAAAAAATATCAAAAAATTTTTAAGCAAATAAATATATAATTTACATATGACTGTGTAAGAGTTGAATTCATTTGAACTGCAGCTGACCAGTTGACCTAATACCACATTTGAATACATTTAAGTAAATATTTATTAATTTCTATTTCCAGTTTGCAAATTTTCCTTTTTGTCTTTTAGAAGAAATTTTTTTTTCAGGTCTTAAATATTTTCATAGGCTTTTATAAACTCATAGACTCTACTCTCTGGTATATTAGTAAGTCAGTGGAAATGGTCTGGAGAGAAAGAGGCTGGTCCACCTTCTGCGGTCTGTGTTTCTAAACTCTTTAAATTTGGTAATACAAATGTTTTTGTTTTAAAAATCAACTAGATATGTCAGGAAAGTGAAGTTATGAGGTTTTTTAGGTTTCTTTTTTATATATCCATTTTTACATTCCTTTTTAAAGGAAAGGAAGGAGACATTGTATTAAAAATTCAAACAGAGGGGAAGCCCTCTGAGTGGGTTATCTGGTGCCTTATGTACATGGGCTTTCCTACATGGACCAGTAGAAAGTACTCATAGACGGGCGCCCAGGTGGCTCAGTCGGTTAAGAGTCTGACTTAGACTCAGGTCACAGTCTCAAAGTTCATGAGTTCAAGTCCCCGCATCGGGCTCTTAGCTGTTCATGCAGAGTCCACTTCAGATCCTCTGTCTCCCTCTCTATCTGACCCTCCCCCGCTCACATTCTCTATGTCTCTAAAAAATAAATAACATTAAGAAAAAAAAAAAAAGTACTTGTGGTGTTAGCCCAGTCGTCCAGGCACCTGCTGTTGCTTCCCTAAGTTACCACTCGGCCAGAGACAACAAATCAGTTTCACAAAGAGGAGAGACCTCCCTTTAATGGGTTTTGATCTTGGTGGAACCCACAAGATGATGGCTTGGTGACATCATGTGCTTTTTGAGGGAAAAAAAAATAAACTGGATGTGTAAGATAACACCACACAATGTCGAGGATCTGTGTCTGCACAGCGTGGGGATGATTCTAAAAACATCACACTGTGCCAATCCCTGACAGAAAGGGGCAGGATTAGAAGATTTCACTCCAGAAGTGGCCTTCACCTTGCTGTCTGGTCCAGGTAAGGGAAGTCCAGTAATATTAGCATAAGCTAGTGTTTTAAAAATAGGAATGCTCCTGATTGAGGATCTGATTTCCAAGAAGTTATAGACATGGGGCATTTCTGTATATGACATTTAATCCACTGTAAATGACATATAAAACTTTCTTAATATAGCATAAGGGTTCAGTGTGTAAGTTCCACAGTTAGGACTGGATTCAAAACCTGCCTCTGCCCCTTCTTGGCTTTGGGAGCATGGGTAAAAGATTTCATGTCACTGTATTTCAGTTTTCTCCATTGTGAAATGGGCATAATAATATCCCTTATCTCATGGTGAGAAGGTTAAATGAGATAATTTACTTTACTAAAAATAACTAATTCAGTGCCTGGGACATAGTAAGTGTTCAGAAAGTGTTGGCCAATACCAAGGGTTTCGTGTATGTTTTCCTTAGTGACTTTACAGAACCCTGGGAGATAGCTGTTAAAATCCCCCTTTCCCCTGTTCCCCCTTTCAAAGAAGACATAACAGTAGAGACTCAGAAAGATTAAATAACTCACAAAGATCACACAGCTAGTAAATGATGGAACCAAAATTCCTCCACAAGACTCCTGATGCCTAAGTTTAGCATGCTTACTGCTAAGGTATAGGTGAGAAATAAACACCAGCCTATCATTTAACATTTACTTTAAAAATGATACAGTATCACAGCATATGTACAGTGTTCTTTTCTTTTTCTTTTTATTAGAGAGAGAGAGAGAGAAAGCAGGGGAGAGGGGCAGAGAGAGAGAGAGAGAAAATAGTAAGCCGTCTCCATGCTCAGCGCCAGAGCCTGACACAGGGCTTGATCCCACAACCCTGGAACCATTACCTGAGTCAAAATCAAGAGTGGGGTGCTCCACTGACTGAGCCACCGAGGCGCCCCATTCTACAACATTCTTATCTTCTTTGCAATATTCACCATTTTTGCTGCAGTAAGTCCAGGGATAAAGGATATTCCATCTTTAGAACCATGGAATTTGAAGGAATTTCATTTCTTTGAAGGTACTTAGGGTTCATGATGAAGTATGAAGAATCCAAGAATTATATGATACAGTATTATTCGTATTTATTGTTGTTGTTATTTTTCTGTTACTTGTAGAACCTAATCAGTATCTCAGAATGAATTACTCATAGTCAAAAGGCAACAATTACTCTATATTATTACTTCCTTGTTCTGGGCACTAGATGTCACACTAAGTAAAGCTTTAGAAGTTAGTTTTCAAAGCAGGTGTGGCATCATCTAACCTTATCTGTGAAGAATCCTAGCTTTCTAATTTTAGTTGAATGCAGTAAAGATGTACTTTTACTAACAAAAGAATTCAGATAGAATTGTTTACCAGAAAATATAATTGGAGCAAACTTAAATACGTGCAATTCTTTGTATATCAATTATACCTAAGGAGAGCTGGGGGGGTATAGGGTGGGGGGTGTGTGGATGGGTGGATGTGTGGATGTGTGTGTAGGGGGTGTGGGGGTATAGGTGTTAGTGTGGGTGTATGGGTGTGGGTGTATAGGTATGTGTGTATAGGCGTGTGCGAGTGTGGGCATATGGGGGGGCGGTATAGGTGTGTGTGTGTGTGTGTGTGTATGTATGTATGTATGAGTGGCTGGAATAGCAATGTAGTGTCATGTGTATTAAACAGACACATCCCATTTATCTGAACACAAAAATGGTATTTCCTTCCAGAAACAAAGTAACTATTCTAGAGGCAATTTATTAAGATAGACCCCTAATCCTGTGTGTTCTGAGATGGTGAGAAGCTGTTCTTCCCTAGGAAAAGAATCAGACATGGTCCTCACGTGAAAGGGGTATAGAAGGTGAAATAGGAGATAAACCACTAAACCCTTCATGTTCTCAAGGAAGGATGTGGAATCATCTTTCTTATATAGTTTTCACAAAGAAAATATAGCAGATGCCTTTCTGTCTTCTCCAACTCAGTAGTTCCTTTATGTTAGCCCTCAGAAATCTCAGTGAGAATCATATTTGAGATTTGTATGTACATTATTTCCTTTTGGAATATATATGTGTGTTTAAAATATGGCAAGGAATATGGACTCAGTATGTAAATAGGTTAGATGATATCTTGTAACTTCAGGGTGTTACTGAAACTTCAATAAGTTTCCATTGAAGTGCTTGGAATTTACTAGAATCTAGAGAGAATGAATTCAAGCCTTAGTTTTAGCAGCTATAGGGCATATTTTTTCCAAGTAACTTGATAATGAATTTGAACTGTATCTAATGAGCTGCACATAAATATAGACATTATGTTTCTTATGAAATTAATGTTATAAACACTGTAAATAATGTTATTTAAGTTTCCCTGTTTTCTAGATAGTGTATAATGACAGGTGGTTTCCACTGGATGTAATTAGTCCCCTGGTAAATATTAGTGCCCTGATTATGTTAAGATCACTCTGATAAATAAAGTTACAACTGATAAAAGACTAGTATTTGGGTTTGGGAGTCATCCATGTCTTTCTCTTATTCAGATGGACAGTTGGTCATTTAAAAAAAATTTTTTTAACATTTATTTATTTTTGAGAGACAGAGAGAGATAGCGCACACAGGGGAGGGGCAGAGAAAGAGGGAGACACAGAATCTGAAGCAGGCTCCAAGCTCTGAGCTGTCAACACAGAGACCAACGTGGGGCTCGAGCTCACAAACCGTGAGATCATGACCTGAGCCAAAGTTAGATGCTTAACGCCCCCCAGGCGACCCATCAGTTGGTCATTTTAATGGTGCTTTTTAAGACTAGATGGTTCTCTTTGGCTCTCAAATCCTGCCACGACTTGGGATTTTCCCTCCACCTATTAATATTGCTGCTGCCTTGGGTTTTAGCAACCTGACATTGCCTGGGTTCCTGGTAAAATCTTCTTCTCTTTCTTCCTGCAATGCTAATGGGGAGTGAGTGCTGGGACAGTGGCATCCCTGGCTGTTTGTCCTACAAGAACTCAAACAGCCACTTAGGACAGTCAGTAGACCATTAATTTTTGTGTTCAGTTGGGGAACTTGAGAAAAGCAGTGGCTCATCATGGGGGCCTCTAAGGAGAAAAATTAATTGTTCCAGACTAAAATGTAGCCAAGACTATTTCTCTGTCAGGCCAGGGCTGGTTTGTGTGTGTGGCACGCGGTGCCGGAATGAAGAAGTCAGCTCTGTGTTTACCAAAGAGTGATTGAACACCCACTGTGCTGGGCTCTGGAGGATATAGGCATCCTGGCCCTGCTCACATGGGGTAAAGCCAGTGGCCTCCATCCTGGCCGACTACTGTAGGAGCTTGTGTATGGACTGTTACTGCTTGGGACAACTGTCAGAGCCATTGGGTGCCCTTCCTGGTTTGCTCACTGATTTGCCTTTTGATTTTGACCCGTCAGCACTCTCCACACTGCAAGAATGACCAGCACTTTGAAAGAGCATGCTGAGCCTCATCTGATTTCAAATCAACAAATATTAATTGAGTGTCTGTGACAGTCTAGGCCTGCAAGGAATTCAAAAACGAATGATGTATGCCCTGTTTTGAGGAGTTGAGAAAAGAGAAGAGAGGAAAAGACAGGGATCCTATTCCCAGAAATCTTGGATTTGGAATCCCAGGTTGCTAGTCAGATGGTATGAGAAACAAATGAGGAGGATTGCAAAGTCCATGCTGTTAACCGCTACACTTAAAACCAGGGTATACACCTACAGCTTACAGCAGCTCTGGAACATGAGCTGTCGAATTGCAGACCGTGGGTTTCTATTGTATTAGGAACCAGATTTTTATTTCCTGGCAGGTCATGGATTGACAGCAGTCAAGGAAAAAGCAGGAGCCACCCTACGGATTCATGGTGTAAATTCCAGCTCTTCTGAAGGAGCCCAACCTGATACTGAAAGTGGAGTCCCTCAGAGTGAGTGACCTATTTTTTGGGGGGGCTTCTTGGACTTCAGCTGTATCTCACTATGTGCACAAATCGAAGATTTCTAAGTTCAGATCGGTAGACTGAACTCTAAGAGGATGTTTTTCTCCTTACTAGCAGATGTGGCCACAGATCAGAGTCCCACAGAAAGCCCACCCACTTCTCCCTCATCCGGGTCTCGGGGCATGCTGTCTGCCATCACCAATGTGGTTCAAAACACAGTAAGTCATTAGCTGCTTCCTCTGTTTTCCCTGGTGTCTCCCAGCGCCTTCTTTTGGTATCTGTATTTACCCGTGACCTAGATACAGCAGAGAAAAGATGGCCTTGCTCATAACCTTGGATTATGGTTTTGTTATGCTGTCTCCTACAGAGTAGGCGTAACCTTGGCACCAAAATAATAAGGGCAAATGAAATATATTTTATGTTGAAAAGAAAGGACTGCTCAGAAGGAACATTTTCAGGCTGCTGTAACAGTGTTCTTTCCAACAGCTACAAGGACAGCCTCCGGCTGGGGAGGAGAGAGGGCTCCGTCTTAGAGCTGAGACAGCTGTTTTTCCTCGACAGTCTATGTTTCTTAACCTTCAATTTGAAAATTATAAAGCCATGCAGATACAAAAAAAATGCTGGTAAGGAATTAGAAACAACATCCCGAGATGTTTCTGAGTGTTTCCAGATAACTAAGACCAACATTCTTCCCCATCTCAACCTCCCATTGCTGCTCTCCCTGTTCTTTAAATAACCCTGTTTATCCCCCCGCCCCATACCCCTGCCTGCTGCCTGCCCCTTTAAGAAGCTTGTTATTGGCAACAAAACACTGATGAATAATGAAAAAAGGGGAAGGCACCCGAACTGAGATGACATAGCTAGCTGGTCTTCAGTGTCAGGAAGAAAAGGTTTCTTTTCTGCTGTATAAAACCAACCAACTACTTTTTCTAGAAATACGGTTGATGTCCAATTTATTCATTCACTCATTAAAAAAAAAAAAAAAAAGGTGGGGGTGCCTGGGTGGCTCAGTCAGTTAAGCCTCTGACTTCAGCTCAGGTCATGATCTCACAGTTGGTGAGTGTGAGCCCCGCATCAGACTCTGTGATGACAGCTCAGAGCCTGGAGCCTGCTTGGGATTCTCTCTCTCTCTCTCTCTCTCTGTCCCTCCTCAGCTCACACTCTGTCTCTCTCAAAAATAAACATTAAAAAATTAAAAAAAAAAAAAAGGTGATCAGCCCTCACTATATACCAGGAACTATGCTAAATGCTGGGCATATGCGGACAAACAAGAGGGTACATCATCCTAGAAGACAGATTCAACCCAAAGGCAAGTACAGCGCAATGTGGGAAGAAAAGGGAGCTGTGCACACACATGTGAGGCTGTCTTCCCCAGCCTTTGGAGTCCAGAGTGTGCCAGAATTAGAAAATGCGTGCTCTTCTCCCTGCAACTCAAGGTCCTCTAGACTAAGTAGGCTGAATCAGAAGCAGCAAATGTGTTTTAGGAGTCGAAGAGCAGTACGTGTCCAGTTTGCCTCACGTGGAGGGGATCGGGTTGGAGATGGGCCGGAGCTCTTTCCATATCCCTGGTTATAAGAAATGAGTTCATCGTCTCCCTGAGCACCAGCACAGGGCGCTCTGGGTTCACCTTCAGCACCCTCATTTCCTTTTTGTGTTCCCTTTCTACCTTCTGATACTTTCTTTTCCCAAGCTCCAGACACTCCCACCAGCTCTGCCTTTAATCAAAGTCCCCATGTCCTTCCTTCTCCCATTTTATTCTCTGCAGGAGTAATCCCTCATAGGATGTTAAAAGAAAATAAATCAAGCAAAAGTATTAATTGCTGACATCCCATAGTCCTTCCACAATATATGTATGTTAAAATCTGTTTTCTAACGTGAATATTGAATGGTCCCCAAATCTGAAAACAAAGTCTAAATGTCCGAATGACTACTAAAGTATATTAGTTCAGTGTGAAGCCTAATATTGCTAATGAAGCAATAATTATGGAGATTGGAAAATGTATATGGGCAATAATATCATACTAAACTATAATGTGTGTAAGCTCATGGAAGGCAGGGAAAACACAGATGTGTGCAGAGTATAGTTGCAGTTGTGTGGTTGCAGTGTTATGAACAGAAGTTGTAAAGAAATGTAAGCAGTTCTGTTTATATGAACAGTTGATATGAGTAAATCTTGGTTGTTTTAATCTTTCTTTTTTAAGGAAAACAAAGGCTGACAAGAAGATTTGCAGGATAACTGTATGATGGAATAGTTTCTAAAGGCAGCGGTATATGGAAATCAACCTGTCTTATTTCATGAATATACTAATGATAGGCGGTTATTGATAGTTTCTGAAAGTATCCAAGGGCCATCTGAAACAGCCTGAGGGCCCTGTACTCCAAGGCCCTAGATTAAAGAATTCGCTAGATGGGCGAAGAGTATTTGACATTTTAATAGAGTGCTCCAAACAACTCTGTTACTCGGGTTAACAGTCTTGCAAACAAAACCAGTAATGGGGTCGCCTATTAATTTCATGTCTTAGGTACATATCTACTCATACACATAGAGCCAGTAAAAAATTAATCCCAAATATGCTTTGGTTTTTCCTAAACATCCATTTTAAATAATATTGTATGGCCTACAAATTATATGACATATGCCCTTCCAAGAAAAAGAAAACAGCATTAATGGATATTAAATCCCTGATGAGAAAAAATTGTGACTTTATATTGATTTTAATATTTGAAGATAGTACCTTCTGCGAGTTCCTGACTGCTGTGAAATTGCAAAAGGCAAAAGCTAATCTCGTGTGATTATCTCATCTGCAGGGTAAAAGTGTCTTAACGGGCGGTCTGGATGCTCTGGAATTCATCGGTAAGAAAACCATGAATGTCCTTGCGGAGAGTGACCCAGGCTTTAAGAGGACCAAGACACTCATGGAGAGAACCGTTTCCTTATCTCAGGTGGGATTACATACTTTTGCTATCCTTTCTTTCAGTCAGTAAAGTAAATATGTCTTTATTTATCTTTTTTAAAAGGTATTTTAAAGCATGTGACTTAAATTCAAATGACATAAGACAGTCGAGAATGAAAATTGAGTTTCTAATACATCTCTTTCCCCAGCCATTTAGTTCCTCATGCGAGGCAAACACTCTTAACAGCTTCTTATGGATTCGGTCAGAATTATCATATAGCTGTGGATATGGGTATAGATATAGAGATACAGATACATATATACTTTTGCAGAGAAATGGTAGCATACTAACCACACTCATTTGTACCTTGCTTTACTCACTTAATCATTTCTTGAAGATTATTACATTTTTGCCATTTGTCTTAGTCCACACAGGCTGTTACAACAGAATATAAGACTAGGTCTCTTATAAGCTACAAACATTGATTTCTCATAGTTCTGGAGGCTGGGAAGCCTGAGATCAGATTCAGTGTCTGGTGATGGCCCATTCCTGGTTCATAGATGGCCTTGTTCTTTCCGTGTATTCAGTGGTGGAAGAGGCAAGGAGCTCTGTGGGGGCTCTTTTATAAGGACACTAATCCTATTCATGAGTGCTCCACCCTCATGACCTAATCCCTTCACAAAGGCCTCACTCCCAAATACCATCACATTGCGGATTAGGTCTCAACCTATGAATTTGGGGAGTGGGGCGCATGGGTGGCTCAGTTGGTTGTGTCCAACTTCAGCTCAAGTCATGATCTTATAGTCTGTGAGTTTGAGCCCCCTGTCGGTCTCTGCACTGACAACTGGGAGCCTGGAGCCTTCTTCAGATTCTGTGTCTCCCTCTCTCTCTGCCCCTCCCTGACTTGTGCGCTTGCACGCGTGCATGCGTGCACTCTCTCTCTGTCTCTCTCAAAAATAAATAAATAAACTTTAAAAAATGAATTTTGGGGGGACACAAGCATTCGGTTGAAAGCATCATTGTATGTATTCGAGCTCTACCACTTTCTAGCTACATGACCTTGAGCAGGTTACTTAATCCTTCTGTGCCCCGGTTTACTCATTTGTGCACTGGGTGTAACATCAATACCTGCTGATAGCTTTGACCTAAGGATTAAATGGGTTAGAAGAGTACCAGACTCTTAGCAAACACTCAGGAATGCTAGTTATTGTTGCTTTATTTCTATGTGTCAATATAATAAGTGGAAATGGTATCTCCTTGGAATTTTAATTTATAGTCCTCTTACTATGTGCAAGGATGGGCTTCTCTTCTCACACCTCCAGTTTTAAAAGATTTCCATCTCTCCTTGGGAAACATGATACGAAGAATTGTGTGGCGCCTGGCTGGTACAGTCGGTAGAGCATGCAACTTTTGATCTTGGGGTCATGAGTTTAATTGAAGCACCACGTTGAACGTAGAGGTAACTTTAAAAAAAATTAATCCGTTTATGTGGAAACTAATTTGACAATAAACTATTTGTAAAAAAAAAAAAAAAAAAAGAAAAGAAATTCTAAAAAAAATGTTAAATAAAAAAAATTAAAAAAAAAATTAATCTGTGGTTTGCTTGACTACAGCAGTCAAGGAAATTAAAAGTAGTATTTGTTTTCTTTTCCAAGTATAAAACCCTGTTGGTGAACTTGCTCTTTTAGATGGCACACGGCCAGTTCATACTCCACAGTGCAGACATGCTTCTGGTCCCCTTCCTCCTTAACAGTCAGGCACACCAGGTCTGCCTCTGCCTTCCTGAAATCAGGAGCAGCTGATACAGCCCCAGATTTCATAAATTTCACAGGCAGGACAAACATATCTTCTCCTGGCTCAACACTAGGAGGCTACTAAAGAGCCATCGCTGACATCATGTTAGGGGCAGTTCCTGGAAAGCTTTCGTTTGAAGCCATTTCCTCTTGTCTTTTCCAGAGCCACCCTCATATAACCACTCTGATGTTATAGCTCAGGTCAGGACCCGGCAGGGTCATCTAAACCACCAGCCTTCCGGTCCTTCAAAAGAAAATAGATTTGCATTAATCAGATAATTAATACTCGATGTTGCAAAATGAAAATGAAACCAAACAACCCCCAAGGATCCCCCCAAGGATCCCCAAGGATCAATGTGGCTAAGAACAAAAACATCTAACTTTGCTCCTGCAGTGTGAGTGTCCCTGCTCAGGGACGCGTCAGGAGTTTGCGTTACAGTGAGAAGAGACAGACCATCAACATTATCTAGTATTTTAAAAGATGATTGAGTGCTGTGGAAAACAAGAAAAAGTAGAGCAGGACCAAGGCAATCAAGAATGCGGGAGTGAGGGGCAGGTTAAGTATTAAATTGGATTGTGAGAGGGGAACCTCATGGAGACGACGCCATCAGAGCAGGTAATTGAAGGGGACGAGGGGTTTGGCCTTGACCATGCTGAAATCTGAGGGAAGCACATTCCATGCAGATGGCAGGACCTGGATGGCGTTGGTAGTGACCTTGGGTTTTACTGTTGGTGAAACAGGGAAAGCGTTACAGCATTTCGAAAAGAGGAGTGACAAGACCTGACTGTCCCGGGGTCACTGTAGTTACTGTGTGGAAAACAGCCTGGGTATGGAGAGGGCCGAGGGCAGGAAGACATGGGACATGGGTACCAGCAGAGGCTCTCCCAGAAGCAGAGGCCAAGATGGCCTCAACGAGCGAGGGTTTTATTAGGGGAAATGCTGGGAGAGAAAATGGAGCTGGGGGGAAGGAAGGCCGGGAGAGCTGTCAGACCAAGATGTGAGTCCAACCCCCGGGGAAGAGAAGAGAGAGAAGAGATTGGGTGAAAGCATCTTAGGCTGCTGTGTCCTCAGCGGAAAGCCTGGCAGAGCCCTGGGAGAGTCCTTCAGCTGAAGTCCGCTGACAGATGAGTCCCCATCTCCCAGACTGGCTCTCCTGTAGTGTCCCTGCTGTGCCAGTGACTGATCATGGGAGGTGACCTCGGGGCCAGTGAGAGATGGATTTCAAAGTACAGCATCCAGGGCTCTTGGCCCTTGATGCCCCAGCTCTCACTGCCTCCTGGGGAGGCGATTGCTGTTATCCAAACAGGAGGATGGGGTGGCTCAGAACAGTGTGGGGCCCCGGAAGAAGTGGGGAACGCTGATTCTGGGTGTATTCTGAAGGTCAACCCAGATTTCCTGATGGAGTGAATGTGGGGTGTGAGAGAAGGAAGCGGCAAGGGGGTCTCCACGGTTGCTGTCTCGAGCAGCTGGAAGGATGAAGCTGCTGTCTGCTGGCACAGGGAAGTCTGTGAAGTTTCTCCTAATCCACACTAAATAACTGCGGACGTCAGAAATGTACACACACTCCCTGGATTTCTCCCGTGTTCTACCCCAGTGGTGGTTCCCGGAGCCCAGAGACGCAAGGAAGACTCCATGCCAGAATCACACGCACTGCTCTTCCAAACCACGTCCCTTTCTTTTTCAGACACGAAAGAGATGAACATCCTGTGAAAAGCCAGTTCTACATTAGGCAACTTTAATTTCACTCCATCTTTTGAGTGAATCCAGATCATTCCAGAGCAACCTTTCTTCCCCTTTCATTCCATCCCTTCCCCTCTCTTCCAAAGCACAAACTGAGAGATGGCAGTTGCTGGAGAGAAAAGAAGCAATTTCCACGTCACTTTGTTATTTCGTTATACCACCGCCAAGCCAGCAAGATCAGTAGAAATAGTTGGGTTTTGTTGGAAGTGCTAAAAATCTCTGGTGGTAGGGGGCCTGGGTGGCTCAGTCAGTTAAGCGTCTGACTTCGGCTCAGGTCATGATCTCACGGTATGTGGGTTCCAGCCCCACGTCGGGCACTGTCCTGACAGCTCAGAGCCTGAAGCCTGCTTCAGACTCTGTGTCTCCCTCTCTCTCTGCCCCTCGTCCACTCATATTCTGTCTCTCTCTCTCTTAAAATAAATAAACAGGGGCGCCTGGGTGGCTTAGTCGGTTAAGCGTCCGACTTTCGCTTAGGTCATGATCTCGCTGTTTGTGGGTTCGAGCCCCGCGTCGGGCTCTGTGCTGACTGCCAGCTCGGAGCCTGGAGCCTGTTTCAGCCTGTGACTCCCTCTCTCTCTGACCCTCCCCTGCTCACGCTGTCTCTCTCTCTCTCTCTCTCTCTTAGAAATAAATAAAATAAATAAATAAATAAATAAATAAACATTAAAAAAAATTTTTTTTAAATATCCAGTGGTAATTTGATGGGGTTGTTTTGAAAACCTTAAAATTCACAGCTTGTACATATTTAGTGTTAAGGACAGACAGGGGAGAATTCTGTCTGTAGTTCAGTGAGTTTTTGGCCAAGTGCCTCAAGAACCCAAAAGGAGGAGGGGGTTGATTGTTTTATTCATGCACATTAAAAACCAGTCTGTTCTTCCGTGATCTTTCTCTTGTGAACTTGTGGTGGCCACTGTGTCTGTGGCGCTCTCCATAGATACTAAAGAACCCTATAAATGTAATGCCCAGTAAACTTAATGAGGAATCAAATAAAAGATGCTTAGCATCACAGAAAGCAAGTGCAGGACATTGGGAGTGACTGGGGGACTCAGTGTTCACTTTGCTCTCTTTATTTAATCAACAAAAACTAACTGGAGAAAAACGATCACCATGGAGAGGAACTCCATTCACAGTCCTACTTCTCGAGAATCGATAAGCTAATATTCTTCTTCATCTCATTATCTGATGAGAAATACATTATGAGTTTATATTTTATTAACTTTGTTCATCAAAGATGGTTAATAGCCACACATATAAAATTTTTTAAAATAACGCAACCCGGATCAAAGTAGAGCAGCTTGTGACTGCTTTGAGGTCTGTCTGGGTACAGAAGTTGCAGTGAACCCATAACAATAGAGTAAACTTTCCTGGTGTACATCAATTTGCCCGTAATAGATAATTTGGGTATTTTAGAAAATAAGAAAAGTAATCACCTGTGGAAAATACTTCAGCGGAAGCCACTCTTCAGCTTCTGATGTACTTCTTTCCAATCCTGTTCCCAGGCATAGAGTCTTTGCTTTGTGTTTTCATGTATATAATAAGCATGTAAAACTCAAAGTGGAATATTACGTAAAACTTAATTTTTACGTAATATTCCAGTAGGATCAAAGAATCATTTTCTTAGGAATTCCCAAGTGATTAAAACCTACTCTTCACAAATACAAGTCAACCTTCATCTCCCTCTGCATCTGATGCAGGAAATGAGGCTTTCAAGCATACACCCAGGGCACAAACGTTGTGTATTTCTGCAGATGTTAAGAGAAGCCAAGGAGAAAGAGAAGCAGAGGTTGGCCCAGCAGCTCACGGCCGAGAGGACTGCACACTACGGGATGCTGTTTGATGAATATCAAGGTTTGTCACATCTGGAAGCCCTGGAAATTCTGTCCAATGAAAGTGAAAGCAAGGTATGTCAGCACTGCGCATGTAAAATACCATGTTCACTGGGGCGCGTGTGTGGCTCAGTTTGTTGGCTGTCTGACTCTTTGATTTCGGCTCAGGTCATGATCTCAGGGTCATGAGATCGAGCCCTGTGTCAGGCTCTGTGCTGAGTGTGGAGCCTGCTTATGATTCTCTCTCTTTTCCCTCTGCCCCTCCCCCTGCTCATGCTCTCTCTCTCTAAAAAAAATATAATAATAATAACAGTAAATAAAATAAAATTCCATGATCACTAATGTGTTTTCTTATGCATGAAAGAACTGGAAAATCTGCCTTTAAAATATCTTATGCTTAGGGCATTATTAATATTGTGCTAGGGTCGCAAATATTATACAATCTGATGACCCCCTCATGCTCTGTATCATTTTCTCTCTGTCCTATGTAAGCTGTTACCCCTCTCCACCCCCAAGAGGGCCAGCAAAATAGGAGACATCACTACCGCACTTCATGGTGCAAAAGGCTGCTCAGAAGCCTGCCTGCCAGGCTCCTGGCCCTGTGCTTCCCTTTGGTGAGGTTGTACCCAGAACAGAGATGCCCATACTAGGCCACGTTGCCACGTCCACCCAATGGAAACAAAGCAGCTGATGTTTCTTCCAGACTGTAGGGTTGTAATAGAGTTTTATGGTCTAAATAGTGATGTGTTCACCCATTTGTTAAAATGCCTGGGCCACAAGAGGCAGGATTATCTTGCTGGGGGTTATAGTTCTATTTGGGGGGGTGCCTGGATGGCTCAGTTGGTTGAGCATTGGACTTCAGCTCAGGTCATGATCTCACTGTTCATGAGTTTGAGCCCCATGCCTCGCTCTGTGCTGACAGCTCAGAGTCTGGAGCCTGTTTCAGGTTCTGTGTCTCCCTCCCTCTCTGCCCCTCCCCTGCTCACACTCTATCTCTCTCTCTCTCAAAAAGAAACATTAAAAAAAAAGTTCTACCTGGGAATGTTCTGGAATGGAAACCTGGGAATTACCTAACAGCCCTATACATTCACACACCCCCCCCACTATGATCTCAAGAAACAAAATAGAAATAGCAGAAATCAGCAGAGTTTGTAGATTTTTTTTTTTTTAAGGATCTGTGTGTGGGGTGGGGGAGGGTAGTTATTTAGCAAATACTCATATGATACTTATATAGTCACTATTCTAAGCACTTTAAAACCATTAATTCATTTAATTATATATATGACTCTTCTGTGTGGTGTCAGGCTGACTGTACTCTGGGGTGTTTTTCCGGTGGAGCCCACAGGATAGCACCCCATGAACATCCTGGGAGACCGTGGCTCAGCTCAGTGACATCCACTGGAGAGAAGCAGGCTCCCTGACAAGAGGAACTTGGAAATGAGCCTTAGAGTGGAGGAGTGATTCTTGACTCTCTCTCAGCCATGTCCTCCATATTTTGCCCTTGGCAGGGATACAGACATTCTTGATGCCCAATAAGCCGGGAAACATGGCCTCCTCCCTGTAAGAGGCAACGAAGAAACAAACAGGATGGAAATCCCCTTCCCTCCAGATGATTGAGTTATGTGTTACTTTTCTGTCTATCTGTCTGTCTGTCTTTCTTTCTTTCTTTCTTTCTTTCTTTCTCTCTGTCTCTCTCTCTCTTTCTTTCTCTCTTTCTCTCTCTTTTTGTTATCCATGAGCCATCAGGAACAGCCTTGTGGTTAAACTGTTCAAGGGAAAAATTTTTTAAGAACAAAATCATGTCTCATACACAGTTACAAAATGAATGTGAATTAAAGAATTTATTTAGCCCCTTAATTCAATGAAAGAACCAAGCAAATATTGTAACTGTATCTGATCAGAAAAGCCAATGCACACATTTATGTGGAGCAAAGTAATTTTGAAACCAATGTGCAAATGGTCATAAACCCCAGGAGGTGAGGCTATCCCTCTGCTGGACAGAATCTATTCACATGTCTATAGACTGGAATTATTTTGGACTGCTCTCAGCTCGCTACAATCCATAGAGTTGTGAAATTGTTCCCATAGACTCAAAATCAGATAACCTGGTAACATGTGCTCAAGAAAATGCAGTTTTCCACTTAACCACAAATCTTTCCCTATAAAAGCTGGGTTTCGAATCAGACATTATATGATCAAATACCACTCAGTAGCTGTAGAATTTTGGACCCATCTTACCTCAATCTTCTTACCTGTGAAATAGGATTAATAATAAAAGTTACCTCATAGCAACATTAAAAGAATTAAATGAGATAATCCATGTGAAGCCAGTTGCAGCTTGCTGAATACATAATAAGTACTCAATAAACATTAGCTGCCTTTTTATACATGTATATGTATATGCATATATAATGTTGGTGACATTTTATTTTTACATGCATTCTTCTAAGTGTGTGTATGCATACACGTAACAGGGCTGTGTGGCTTCTTGCAGTTATCACAGTGCTAGAGAGATTCCATTCTGGCAGGTTCCATTGCAGCTTTCAGCTGTGAGAGAGTCAACCCTAGAAAAGAGCCCCAAAGGACCGATGTTGCCAGGAAGGAGGTTTGGTCCCTGGGGGACTGCATTTCCCTCTGTTTACATGCTGCTATATGAGCTCTGTTTCTGTTCCCCCAGCCTAGAGATTTTGATAGATGCATAGTGAGGAATGCAGAGCTTTTTCTTGGATTAGTAATGAGTTACTGCGTGCTATAATAAATAAGTCCTAAAAATATATGGGTCAAAATCAGTAGGAGTTATCCTCATTCTCGAACAGTCCACGATGGGAGTGCCTGGTCATCTGGCGGCTTTCCTGCATTAGGGGTTCAGGAGCCAGGCTCTGCCCATCCCATGACTCCCCTAGACCGCCTTGATGTTCACAGCCTCTGCCAAGAATACAAATGGAGATCCTCACTGGGGTTGTCAGATTTAGCTAATGAAAATGCAGGATGACAAGTTAAGCTTTAACTTTTGATAAACAATGAATGCTTTTTAAAAAAATTTAATGTTTATTTATTTGAGACCGAGAGAGAGAGGGAGGGGGAAGGAGAGAGAGACAGAGTGTGAGCAGGGAAGGGGCAGAGAGAAAGGGAGACACAGAATCTGAAGCAGGCTCCAGGCTCCGAGCTGGCAGCACAGAGTGCGACGTGGGGCTCGAACTCACGAATTGTGAGATCGTGACCTGAGCCAAAGTTGGATACTTAATTGACTAAGCCACCCAGACCCCTCAATAATGAATATTTTTCAGACACACACTTATACTAAGAAAATATTCATTGTTCATGTTTAACTAGACCTCCTTTACATACCAAATTCTTAGAAGTTAAAGGAGTTTTGAAACAAACTGTTAAAAAATATATATTCTGTCATCCTACACTAACAAATACACTTTTATAATGACTTCGAAGGCCAGGTTCCCATTCAGACTTCCCAAACTCCTCACATTTCCATACCACCCTCCTGCCTGATCTTCTCTCTTTATTTCCAGGTATCTCTCACTTCAAAGGCTTTATATGCACATGTGAGGATACCCTAGTTCAAGTTCCATCCACACCACTGCTAACAGCCAGCTCTTAGACCTACGGGCGCATCCTCCAGTGGATGGTCTCCCCATAAAGAGCACAGCCTGAATAGAGATCCATACAGGCCGAAGGAGGGAAACTTGAGCAACTTTAGCACCTAGAGAGTGGTTTGGAAGGGGAAGCTCTGCGTGGGCACATCCCTGTGGCCCTGTGGACTCCCCAGTGTCTGAGTCTAGACCATTGGATTTCACCGTCTTCTAGGCCCTCTGTGTTCTTTATCCCACCAGCAGAGGACAGAAAGGTGTAGAGGGTGCACTCCCATTTTTTAAGAGCCTTGACCTGCAAATGATAAACATCGCCTCTGCTGACCTTGCTATTGACTAAAACATAGACACATTATATGGAAATGTAAGGGATTACTATCATTATTGTTCTACTGATTGATTCTAGGATGACAACAGACATGGCAATGTGGTATACTATAAACCTTAAGAAAAACTAATCATTTTTATTGCTTTTTTATCCAATAGCTAACAAGAACAGTAAGCAAGAATCTTCAAAGTGGCACTCCGTACTCCCTCTCAGGGAAATGATTTACAAGGCAGACTGTCTACCCTTGTGTTCCCGTCAACACTTAGCAGAATGCCAAGCATCTAGTCAGCATTCTATGAATATTTATGGAGGAGTACATGATTATTTATTATTGGAATGAAATAAAGATTCAATGCTCATCACCTTGGCATAATGGAATGAATTAGGAGGAAGCAAAAGAGACCCTGTAGTAGAAAGATGCTGACAATAGATTCCTTTGCTAAAAAGAATCCTTCCCAAAGGAGGCTCAAAGCCTAAAACCCCAGTGCATCTCCCAGAGGATGGCTCCCCTCCAGGAGACCTGGGGAAACCATAACGCCCCACATTGTCACTCAGTGTTGTTGTGCTCAAGCACATTTATTCAATAATTACCTTTTTATTTTACTCTTTGAACACTGCTGTTTAAAAATATATCTGAAGTGTAGGAATCTGATGTGGGCCTATTGAAGACTCTGAGACCTAATCATGAATATAGTAGCTGAACAAAAGGCTCTTCAAAGGTCAGAGTGAAAGGGCGTGGGGGCAGCCACCATGCAGGGCGTGTTTGCCTCTACGGCTGACGGGTTTGTGTGGATGCCTTCCTGCCAACCTTCCTTCTGAAGCTCCTGCCCATTGTGTCATGTCCTGGTGCTCTGCATGCCAGTTTTTAGGAAAATGTTGTCCTGGCATCCCTGATGCCCTCTCTAACTCTCTTGCTTACCCTGATGTGTGAATCTACTACCATAGAGAATATGAGAACATATGCCAAGGAGCATCACGGCTCCTCTTCTGGTTCTCACTCCAGAGCAAGTGTTTGACCTGCAGAATGAAAACCTTTCTACTTTACGGTCCTACGTCTTTTTTTGTATGGTTTTTCCATCCACTATGGCCATTTTGGAAGTTCAAATCAGTCTTCACATTCACCGGGGATGACTGGCCATGTGTGCAAATAATTTTTAAGTGTTTACTGAGGGTCAGTTTCAAAAGAGGGGCTCTGAAGACAATGAGCAGGGAATTTGTCAGCTCAACCATCGTCCTCTATGAAGTCTCCTTGCCCACCCTTCTGTCTCCCCAAGGTGGACTGAAGTCCCCTCCCGGGTGCCCCACTGCCCTTCCGCTCACATCTGTCATGGCTGTTAGCAGTTAGCCTGGGCTTTCCTCCTCTAGACTACAAGATCTCTGAGAAGAAAAATGTGTCTTGTGTGTGTTTGTAGTCCCGGTGCAATAACCCGCATCTAGCAAATAATAATGTGTATATATATCTGTATATGTAAAATATTTCTTTATGTGTTTGTTTATATGTATTTTATATACATATAGTAATATTCTTATATGTTAACATACATGATATATATGTAATTTCTTGACCTTCACTCTAAGTACTTTTAAATACATTATCTCATTTAACCCTCAAAACAACCTTATAAGGGAGAAGCTATTAAAACTCATTTTACAGATAAGGAAGGAAAGGCATAGAAAGGTTAAATAAGTTACCCAAGGTCACACAATTCATAAGTGAGGGGCTCATATTTAATGTTGTTTTTTTAAGAGAGAAAGATAGCAAGCAGGGAAGGGACAGAGGGAGAAAGAGAATCTTAAGCAGGCTCCATGCTCAGCATAGAGCCCAGAACCTGACACAGGGCTCAATCCCACGACCTTAAGATCATGACCTGAGCTGAGATCAAGGGTCAGTTGCTTAAACCACTGAGCCACTCAGGTACCCCCACGGGGCTGATATTTGAATTCAGAGTTGACAACATGTGTGTTTTTAGCCACTTGACTACAAGAGCTACCACCACAATTTATTTAGTGTCTGCCTTTTGCACCTGTGTCATGTACTTCAGGGTCACTATTACATTTACATCACAAAGGATCACAATGAAGTGTGGCTCTCACTTTAAAATTGTAAAAACTGAGGCCCAGGGAGCTTATGTAATTCACCCAAAGTTGGCCAGTTCGTAGGCGGTAAATCTAACATTCAACCTGGCATTGTGCCTGTCCCCCCCCGCCCCCCCCCCCACACCACCAATCACCTGAGTCCTGGGAGAACTGGGGACAGCCCTGTGTAAACGTGACTAATGAGAAGAAAAGATGACAGTTACGCTGACCTATTTCTGTTTTCAGGTTCAGTCATTTTTAACATCACTTGATGGAGAGAAGCTGGAACTCTTAAAAAATGACCTAATTTCCATTAAAGACATCTTTGCAGCCAAAGAATTAGAGAATGAAGAGAATCAAGAAGAACAAGGTAAAGGAAAATAACCAGTTAAACGGCAAAACAAAGTCTTGGTATAATCCTTCAGAAACAGCTGTTAATAAATGCAGCCCTTTGAACAGGGAATGATTTAATGCAAGTGCCCCTCCTCCTCGCTTCCAAAACACTCCGTACGTCTGCTCTTGTTACAGGAGCTGGTCACATTGATGTGTAGGGCGGGAACGCCTGACTGCCACGTCTTTATTTCTCTGGTGGGCAGCACAGTTCCCGCCACATCACGGGTGCACACTAAATGTGGATGGTTGAATGAAACAAGAACACAGTGCACTAGGCAGAGCCCTGATGACTAGAGTTTATGCTCTGATACCTAATTTTGTATCTGCATGCAGTGGGCAGGTCTTTCCATGGATTTCTTCTTGTATTTTTCTTTGCTTTGCTTTGTTTTTTTTTTGTTTGTTTTTTTTTTTTAAGAATTTCTTTATTTTGGAAGGAGAGGGACAGAGAGAGGAGAGATGAAGGCAGAGCCCAACGCAGGGCTCCATCTTACAACCTTGAGATCACTACCTGAGCTGAAATCAAGAGTCAGACACTTAACCGACTGAGCCACCCAGGCGCCCCCTGGAGAGTGATTTCTTACTAAGGTCATCACCTATCACTGCAACCACAGTTGTTTGGATTATGCTAACAGGCAACCATGGCCACACAGGGTAGCTTCTCCTGGGACTTTCTCGAAGGTCCCATTTGAAACATTTCTACCACTTACTGGCTGCATAGTCTTGAACAAGTTATGTAACCTTTCTGAAACTCATTATCTTCACTTCCTAAATGGAGACAGTGATACAGATTCCCAAGGGCTATTGTGAGGCTCAAGTTAGATCATATATATAAAAATATATATTACAGAGCCTGGCACACAGAACTGCTCAAAAACATTAGCTGGTATTGTTATTTAAAGTGCTAAAGCAATGCCGGGAAAATAGTAAAAGTACAATCAATTGTAGCTTTCATGTATGATTGTACTTGTTATTACCCACACAGAATAGGGATCATGTGCATTCATACCCATCAAATAGCTGGACGTGTTCTGTGCCCAGGTGTGTTACATACCTTTAATCAAGGCTCAAACACGAGAGCCAAGTTCTTCAGTCTCATTGCTCGGGACAAAATTATTCTAGGCATTTGCAAACTGTTCTTTAAATACCATCTCCCGCTTTAATCCTTCATAGTGACCTTATGTGCCTTCGGTTTAATGAGATTATGCTCGTTGCATCAAAATAGAAGACTCAGTTATATTGAAGAATAGAAATAAGCCAATATCAAAGAGACTGTTGGAGAAGAATGGTTTTGAGCATCTGTGTGTTTCTACAAAAGTCACAGAGGATGACAGCCTTGTTTTTGTTTTAATAATGACAAACGAAGACACTAGCTGTCCAAGTTCATGCACATAGTAATATGGGCCCACGATGAACCAGTAGAGATGCCTGTTTTCCAGAGTAACGATCACCAAAAAGATCCAGATTATTTCTCTTTGGTTTCATGATGCCTAATGTAGACCTTGATCCTACTGGGGGAGTCATTGAAAAAGGATAAAAAGAAGATTCCAGATTACCCCTAACGTCAGTTAGTGCATCCCCACCTAGGGTGATTCCTTAGAGAGGAACCTTGATTCATTACTGTTAAATAGAAAATGTTACTACATATGATGTGTTCCAGTCAATACAGAGCTTCGGTAAATTGGGATTTTTTTCATATGATGAAGAAAATAATTGAAGTCCTGAACAGCATGCTTAAGAAATGGTAGACCTTCTCAGGGGTGCCTGGGTGGCTCAGTTGTTTAAGAAATGGTAGACCTTTTCTCTTTAAGTGACAGAACCCTGTTATCTCCCATAATATATCCATTTTCCCAAAGGGCATCTCTAGATTATCAAAACACTATTAATTTTTATTAATTTAATAGATAAACATAAAACACATAAAGAAAAACTGGGAGAAAGGAATAGCAGGGTTGCCATTAAGTCAATCCAATTATGATGGAGCATGACAGCTCCATAGAGGTGGACGGATTATCTAAAAGCTCTAAAGAGTATTCTCATCAGTGGGGAGGAGCAGAAGCCAGGAGAAAAATTCTGGGAGAAACCAGAGCATTTTCATCCATTTTTATTTTGTGTAAGCATTTACATTCCTAAAAGCCTCTTAACATGTAAATAATTTATTTGCAAGTCTTGGAAAATATAACTAATTGTCATTTTTAGCTAAACTCGGTATCGGGCTCCTCTGCATTTGATAATATTAGCTAATGATTTGCATGATTGTCTCTCAGCAGTGTGTAATTTTATCACACTACTATAGGTCGCTAGTTTACCACTGTCGCAAAGAGGTTCTAAAAGGCCATTTTTTATTTTTATTGCCTCAGTGAAGCTCTTGACCATATGTACGAACCAAGAGTTGTAGTGCTAGGTATTCTTTGTTGCAATACTATTGATCATCTGTTTTTATCTACTTCTGTTTTTCTCTGTGGCTTTTTCCCCCCTAAATACTTGCTAAAACTTATTGGTGTCTTTTTCTGTTTTATAGAGTAAATGCACATTTATAAGCTGGAGTGGGGTGGGGGGCTGGTGCCTGAGTGGCTCGGTCAGTTAAGCATCCGACTTTGGCTCATGGGTTCGAGCCCCGCATTGGGCTCTGTGCTGTCAGCTCAGAGCCTAGAGCCTGCTTCGGATTCTGTGTCTCCCTCTCTCTCTGCCCTTTCCCCACACGTGCTCTGTCTCTCTCTGTCTCAAAAATGAATAAACGTTAAAATAAAAAATTAATAAATAAAACATAAATAAAAGCTAGAGTAGGGTACCTGGGTGACCCTACTCAGTTAAGCATCTGACTCTTGATCTCAGCTCAGGTCTTAATCTCAGGGTCATGAGTTGAGGCCCCACATTGGGTTCCATGCTAGACATGGAACCTACTTAAAAAAAAAAAAAGTGGAGTTACACAAAGTATTTGGATCCCAATTTAGCATTGGTGACTCCCAAATATTTTTAATCTCCGTATGTTTTTTAAAAAATGTTTAAAATGTCTCTTGGGACATTTTCCCAGAGATCCAGTGTAGTTACATCAGATAGTCTATGGCCCACGGAGACTAGTTCTGCTTGCTCAGCACTGTGGCTCTGTGGAAAGAAAAGGGTGCCCTGGGTATTATTAGAGTTGCAATGCCAAGCATAACAATACTCAACGGTCGTAAATACAGTGTTGTCCCAGGTCTCTTCCACCTGAGATACATCATTCGTTTGTTCATTCAGTCATTCTTTCAACAAATAGCTACTGATCACTTATAGCTGTCAACAAGACAGATAGGTCCCTTCCTGCCCTCACGTTGCCTTCAGGCCAGCCTGGGGGCGCCCCAGCTAGAGCTTCGAGCAATAGGGCAGTAGGAGCAGGCTGCTCATAAGCTGCCCTCTGGCAGCGGGGGGCAGGTGGCTACGGCCCCCGCTTGTACTCTGACTGCTAGCTGTAAGGTTAGGGGAGCTGCCACATTCTGAAGGCAGAAAAATAAATCCTGCTTCTTACTTCTGTCATTTTCTATTTCCAGCCTTGGAAGAAAAGGGAGAAGAATTTGCTAGCATGCTTACAGAGCTTCTCTTTGAATTACATGTTGCAGCCACGCCTGACAAACTCAATAAGGTCAGCACTGTCAAGTCTGAGTTTTTATTGTTGTTGTTGTTTTTAAAGGTATTGGTTGTAAAATTCAAGAGATCCACCTGAAATGGAAACATCCCAAACCCCAAATGGCACATGGCGATGGAGGGGGAGGAGAGTATGAGGCCACTAATTAAGATTCCAGGAGGCAACGTAATGAAATGTGATGGGAGAGAACATGCTAGACTGTGTCAGGAGACCTGCATTTTAGTTGCAGCTTCACTAGTAATTACCCTGTGACCTTGAACAAGTCAGTTCTCCTCAAAATAGAATCGTATATCAGAGTGGTTATCTTTGGCATAGGGGAAGGAAGAGGGGTGCAGAATCACCAAGGGGCTTTTCAAACTCCATCTCCCCTCCCCAACTTGGGCACTGTGCCCAAATCATGTGGAGAGAATCTCATCAGCCAGATCACCCCCACGCCCCGTCCCACACAGAATGTTGGTGCCACATGGTGTCCAAGAACCATCTAGCTTTATCAGTCTGGGTTCTTCTAATTGTACCACAGCGTGTTTTGCGACTTAGTAGAAGGTCTTGCTGTGGAGTTTCTTAATGAAGACACTGTGTATTAAGTACTTAAAACCATGTTATTTTTCCCATTCTCTTTTTTTCCTTTCTCTTTAGCAGGCAGTAGTTGACGCAGACCCTCACTCATCAAGGTGGGTGAGAAAAGGGCAGGATGAGGCAGTGAGGGGGAGACATGAGTAATTTCTTTATCTTAGATAGAGGTCACCGATCCTGACAGGTCAGTGACTCGAACACAGTGGGAAATTGCCTCATTTATCTCTGTGCAACACCTGCCACTGCTGTGTGTGTGTGTGTGTGTGTGTGTGTGTGTGTGTGTGGTGCCTCCAAGGTCCCACTGGCTTGTGGACGTAGTCAGATAAGCTTTAAGATGAGAAGTAAGTTTAACATAAGCTCAGATACAACTTTCACTTAAGCCAACAGCTTTAAACGATAATGGAAAAACTTGATGAGTCTGCCCTTCCTAAATTCAGGGAATGACAGATAGGGAAGGGGGTTGTTCTGCTTGTTGAATTTAGCCATCATTTTTTAGGCTTACAGGTTGCTCAGACTGCACTCATGTGAAATTAAACGAGTCATGGAGAAGCTCCAGGTCTTTCCAACAGCAACTCTCCCCTCCCTACACACCCTTCCCCCCTTGAATCTAATGTCTCCATGACGAGGGAAGAGAGCGTAGATCCATCCTTCCCTGCATGATACATTATTAGGTTCATGAAACATTAAGGCCTTCATGAGCCCTATCAAATGAGGAAATTTGCTTTAGCAATGACCCTGGCTAAGTCTCTAACCTATATATAAAAAAGTACTATTAGTCTTTTATAGTTGGTCATGGAAAGTGAAAAATTTACTATAGGTCTTTAAGGTGACTATCGTTTTTATTCTTACCCGTGTATCCATTCACAATGTGTTTTTAAAAGGTCTTGCGGTGTTCTTGCCATACTTTCTTTCTATTCTGCCCCCTGTTCTTACCCAATATTCACCAGAAAGCACCAACAAGCTGCTTTTAAGGAGACTAAGGAATTGCCTCATCACTTTTTGAATATTCAGAGACACCCTTGAAGGTTTTACGGCAAATTTACTGGGGACTGTAGCCTGGGGATTGGAGTTCCTTAGTCTTCTGATTTACATAATTAACAAATTGCTTTGGGGGGGGGGGGGCCTTTGCAGGCCATGAAAAAAGCTCATGACTGGGTGGGAGAAGATCAAGCTACTGTGTCAGTAGATATGGCAAAAGAGACAGAGGAGAACAGCAAAAAGGACGAAAAGGAAGAGAAACCAGAAAATCCTGAAGAAGACAAAAAGGAAGAGAGAACTAAGACGGTGGAGGTAAATTTATTTGAGATTACCTAAAGAGCAGTCATATTACCTTTATTTCATTAGCAGCCGGATTTCAAGTGAGGAGAAACCACTTCATTTTCATTTCTACCCTGTTTCACATTATAGAAATATGAGTGTTAATGGGATAAACACTAAAATTTCTCGATGCCAAGACAATTCATGACTTAGCATAGATATTGTGGCTTTTCTTCATAGCTTTACAATGATAATTTAAAGGAAACAAGGTCTTTAAGAACAAAGCTGATTTATCATTAGGATAAAATTCCATCTTCTATGCAAATTTGTAACTATAAAAGGTCTTTATGCCCCATAAACTAATGAGGTAATTGAAGCTTTTTCCAGAAAAAAACTTCATGGCCACAGTTTATATTCTGTAGTTTAATAAATTTATGTGAGCATAATTTATAGCCTGACTATGTTCAAAAATGTTTGTAATAACTTAGTTTTTACATTGAATTTTCATTTTAGAGAAAGTAACTTTTTAAATTCAATCACTATAAAGAAACACATCCAGGGGCGCCTGAGTGGCTCAGTCAGTTAAGCATCAGACTTCGCTCAAGTCATGATCTCACAGTTTGTGGGTTTGAGCCCTGTGTCGGGCTCTGTGCTGACAGACTCTGTCTCCCTCTCTCTCTGCCCCTCCCACACTCATGCTCTGTTTCTGTCTCAATAATAAATAAATATTTTTAAAAATTAAAAACAAAAACAAAAAACATGTCCAGTGAGGTTGATTTATTCAGCCACACTTCCACAAGCATTTTTGAGCAGCTGCCTGCTGTGTGCCCAGAACTGCTCTGAGAACTAAGGACACAGATGTAAATGTTGCCATGTCACTGGGGACCCAGCAGCACCTCCATGTTATGGAAGCCTTTCTACTTAGAAAAGTCTCAGGTACACCCATTGATCTTTGGGTAAACTGTTCAGTCCATTTTTCCCCCAGAATTTTATATATATATAAATTTATATATATATATATATATATATATATATATGTTGTTGTTGTTTTAAGTAAACTCTTCCCCCCATTGTGGGGCTTGAACTCATGACTCAGAGGTCAAGAATCGCACGCTCCACCAACTGAGCCAGCCGGGCGCCCCACATTACAGAATTTTCAACAAAGCTTCTGGGCCCCATGAGTAATATTCTTACTGGTGTTTATCTATTTCAGGAAGTATACATGCTGTCCATCGAAAGTCTGGCAGAAGTAACAGCACGTTGCATCGAGCAGCTGCATAAAGTAGCAGAGTTAGTTCTTCACGGGCAGGAAGAGGAAAAACCAGCTCAGGACCAAGCAAAAGTTCTGATAAAGTAAATATTACTTTTAATTCTTATTTTTCCAATTTTACATATATGTGCCATTCCGATACACACCCAGGCAGGCATACACACACGTAGGCCACTAAAGATTCAAATTACAAGTCAACTAATTCCACTGTTCTGTGGTCATCTTAAAAAATAGGCTCTCTTAAGAACCACAAGATTCTCAGCTGAACCATGTTAACAAGAATAATAATAATTAAGTAGACAGTCTAGGGATTATTTATGAAGAGATGTGAGGAAAGACACATTAAATCATTCAAGGATAAGCGTTTGTTTTAACAGATCAAAGTCTTAGCAATACAGACCTTTGAGGGTAATTGCACTTTTAACATACCACAAGAATAGGGAAAGAACACCTCAATGCAGCTTTTCAGCTAGCTTCACAAAGATATTCAAACACACCCCCACAGTTCCTAGGGACTTACTGCGTATTCTGAATTCTGGCAATGATGGTTGTTGATGCTAGCCAGTTTCCTGTGGATTGCATGTGTGTGCATATATGTGCTGTCATATGTTATAGTCTTCAACAAATAGTAGCTATTGTTATTAGTTTATCTAGTAAAATAAAAAGTAACTATATACACATGAAGATAGCTGGTAGGGAGCATGTATTAAAATAGTTGGTATAAAGCTGAAAAATGAGCCATTAACTTTTATGCGCATGTCTGTATGCTGTAGTGTAGAAAATTAGCACAGATCCAAGGTGTACGTGGGGGAGCAAATATTTAGTCAAAGAACCTTCCAAAAAGTCAACATTAGCATCTGTATACTACTGGTAGCATTTCTCCTCACTTGTAAGGAGGTGTCATCTAGTCTAGATTTTCCAATTGGAACATGTGAAAATGAAAGATGATATAAGAACCACACACTTGTGCACTTAATAAGCTTAGGAAGAATATGTAGTTACCTCAGTCTATAGAAGGAAGAGGAAAGGGGAAAATAGGAAATGTTTAAATTATTGAGGAAAACATCTAAGTGCTATTTTATGTTTGTGGTATTTGTAAAGGAAGAGTGTTCAGAAGTCCCCAAGTATGTATAGCATGACCTTATTCTTAGCATCTCTGATTTCCAGTCCAGATTATCTCAACCTTACCAAGCTGCACCAAGCGAAAGGTAATAAGACTCCACATTCGTCTGTATAATAAGTGCCTTTCCACCTACCTGCCCAAGGCCATAGACAAAATGGCTCTGGACTATCCCCGGACCTTACTTCTGACACTTTCTGCAGATAAGTTTTGAATGGATGGACAGATGGACTGATGGATGGATGGAATGATAGACATATAGATATAACTCAACAAACCTAAATACGTAGCTTAGACAGAAGCCCTGTTTATCAAAACAAAGCTCACTGCTCCTGACTTCACTAGATCTTAACACATAAGAGTCTTAACTTGGAGTTCCTATTTTTCTAATAGCATTTTAACTACTATTCATGAGAGTCATACATACTAGTTATAAAAGGATATAACAATACTCACATTGTTAGGTTAATTGGATTGTTTTTGGTTTTTGTCATCATCTGTGACGTTATGACAAACGTTGCTTTGTTAAATATTTGTGCCTGTCTAGCATTATTTTCCTGGGGTAAAGTCTTAGGAGTCAAATAGCTAGAATAAACTTGGAGTTTTGATAGAAGTCTTTAAAAACAGATTTTATAGGATCTTTATTATGAGGTACCTAATAAAAACATAATCAAGAAATCAAGAGACATCTGAGTTTGAATTCCAGCTCTATCACATATTACTGCATGTCCTAAGCAAGCTACTTAATCTCCTTAGGGCAGCTGGCTGGCTCAGTCAGTAGAGCATGCAACTCTTGATCTCCAGGTCATGAGTTCAAGATCCATGTTGGGTGTGGAGCCTGCTTTAAAAAAAGAAGTTACTGTGATAAATCATATCAATAAAAGAAAAGATAAAAACCATATGATCCTGTCAATAGATGCAGAAAAAGCATTCGACAAAATACAGCATCCCTTCTTAATAAAGACTCTCGAGAAAGTTGGGATAGAAGGAACCTACTTAAACATCATCAAAGCCATCTATGAGAAGCCTTCAGCTAACATTATCCTCAACGGGGAAAAACTGAGAGCCTTCCCCCTGAGATCAGGAACACAACAGGGATGTCCACTCTCACCACTGTTGTTTAACATAGTGCTGGAAGTCCTAGCATCAGCCATCAGACAACAAAAGGAAATCAAAGGCATCAGAATTGGCAAACAGGAAGTCAAACTTTCACTCCTCGCAGATGACATGATACTCTATATAGAAAACCCGACAGACTCCACCAGAAGCCTACTAGAACTGATCCAAGAATTCAGCCAAGTTGCAGGGTACAAAATCAACGTACAGAAATCGGTTGCATTTTTATACACCAATGATGAAGCAACAGAAAGAGAAATCAAGAAACTGATCCCCTTCACAATTGCACAAAAAACCATAAAATACCTCGGAATAAACCTAACCAAGGATACAAGAGATCTGTATGATGAAAACTATAGAAAACTTATGAAGGAAATTGAAGAAGACACAAAGAAATGGAAAAACATTCCATGCTCATGGATAGGAAGAATAAATATAGTTAAGATGTCATTACTACCTAAAGCACTCTACACATTCAATGCAATTCCAATCAAAATTGCACCAGCATACTTCTCAAAACTAGAACAAACTATCCAAAAATTTGTATGGAACCACAAAAGACCCCGAATAGCCAAAGTAATACTGAAAAATAAAACCAAAACGGGAGGTATCACCATCCCAGACTTCAGCCTCTACTACAAAGCTGTCATCCTCAAGACAGTATGGTATTGGCACAAAAACAGACACATAGACCAATGGAACAGAATTGAGAACTCAGAAGTGGACCCAAAAGTATACAGCCAACTGATCTTTGACAAAGCAGGAAAGAATATCCAATGGAAAAAAGACAGCCTTTTTAACAGATGGTGTTGGGAGAACTGGACAGCAACATGCAGAAGAATGAAACTAGATCATTTTCTCACACCATGCACAAAAATCAACTCAAAATGGATAAAGGACCTGAACGTGAGACAGGAAACTATCAACACCCTAGAGGAGAAAGCAGGAAACAACCTCCTTGACCTCCACCGCAGCAACTTCTTACTTGACACATCCCCAAAAGCAAGGGAATCAAGAGCAAAAATAAACTGTTGGGACCTCATCAAGATTAAAAGCTTCTGCACAGCCAAGGAAACAACCCAGAAAATTAATAGGCAACCAACGGAATGGGAAAAGATAGTTGCAAATGACATATCAGATAAAGGGTTAATATCCAGAATCTATAAGGAACTCACCAAACTACACGCCCGAAAAACAAACAACCCAGTGAAGAAATGGGCAGAAGACATGAACAGACACTTCTCCAAAGAGGACATCCAGATGGCCAACAGACACATGAAACGATGCTCAGCATCCCTCCTCATCAGGGAAATACAAATCAAAACCACACTGAGATACCACCTCACGCCAGTCAGAGTGGCTAAAATGAGCAAATCAGAGAACTCTAGATGCTGGCGAGGATGTGGAGAAACGGGCACCCTCCTACACTGTTGGTGGGAATGTAAACTGGTACAGCCCCTCTGGAAAACAGTGTGGAGGTTCCTCAGGAAACTAACAATAGAACTCCCCTATGACCCAGCAATAGCACTGCTAGGAATTTACCCAAGGGATACAGAAATGCTGAGGCATAGGAGCACATGTACCCCAATGTTCATAGCAGCACTCTCCACAATAGCTAAAACATGGAAAGAGCCTAAGTGTCCATCAACAGATGAATGGATCAAGAAGATGTGGTTTATCTATACCATGGAATACTACATGGCAATGAGAAACAATGAAATCTGGCCATGTGTAGCAACATGGATGGACCTTGAGGGTGTTATGCTGAGCGAAATAAGTCAGGCAGAGAAGGACAAATATCATATGTTTGCACGTATAGGAGGATTAGGAGGAACTTGACGGAGGAACAAGGGGGAGAAGAAGGGCGGAAATGGTGGGGGAAAGGGAGAGAGGCAAACCATGAGAGACTCTTGAATGCTGACAAAAACTGAGGACTGATGGATGTGGGGGGGAGGGGGGAGATGGGCATGGAGGAGGGCACTTGGGGGGATGAGCACTAGGTGTTATATGGAAACCAACTTGACAATAAACTATTTGTAAAAAAAAAAAAAAAAAAGAAGTTACTTAATCTTCTTAAGCACCAGTTTCACTATCTATAAAATGGGGATATTAATGTACAAGGCCACTATGAGGATTCAATATGATTATACATATAAAAGCACCTAACATAGTACTTCAATGAATGCTCATTATTATTTCAAAATGACCGAAAAGCTGGAGAAAAGCCACTTGGCAAGAGGCTCATACTCCAAAACATATGGAACTCAAGCCTCAAATTTTCCTGCATATGCTTTTGATTCTAAAATGAGGTAGGATGAGGGTGCCTGGGTGGCTCAGTTGGTTAAGTATCCCACTCTTGATTTCAGCCTGGGTCATGATCTCAGGACTGTGAGTTGAAGCTCTGAGTTGGGCTCTGCACTGGGTTGTGAAGTCTACAGGAAGAAGGAAGGAAAGGAGAGAGGGAGGAAGGAAAGAAGGGAGGGAGGAAGAAGGAAAAGGAGAGAGAGAGGAAGGGAGGGAGAAAGAGATAGGGTGATTTAGGTGATTATTCATTAATTTTGCATGCAGAGAAAAACCAGGATTAGATTAAATTGTGATTGTGAACCATGAAAGATTATTGAAGGAACATTTCTACAGAACATCTTCAAACATGTGTGTGTTCTTTTAAATGAAATATGGTATCAATATCAGTAATTGTCTTGATTTTTAAATTATTTCATCTATGAAAAATCCCTCCAAATATCTTATTTTCTTGCAGATTAACTACTGCAATGTGTAAAGAAGTGGCCTCCTTATCAAAGAAGTTTACAAATTCCTTAACCACTGTTGGGGTAAGTTTATCCTATAGATCTTTTTTCTGCCTTTTATGGGAGACGAATCTATGAGGGGCTGGGAGAAGTGCAGTGCCTTGTTGGCTCCATAAAACAGAACCAGCACTGTGATATTTACTAAAACCAGGCCAGGAACCCCTATGTCAGAACAGGCAGCTTAGGGCTCTCGTCTCACTGGGTTCTAGCCTGATGCCACCATCTCTGACTTACAACGTATTAGGTGGGTTTTGAAACATCTCAGGCCTCATTTTCCCTATTTGCTTGAAAAGAAGTCAAATGAAGTTTCCTTTCATTGCTTAATACCTGTGATGTACAATTCTCTTTCTCTCACTCTCTCTCTCTCTCTCTTCTATCCTATGAAAATAATTTTGAGGGGCACCTGGGTGGCTTAGTTGGTTAAGTGTCTGACTTCACCTCAGGTCATGATCTCACAGTTCGTGGGTTCAAACCCCACGCCGGGCTCTGTGCTAACAGCTAGCTCAGAGCCTGGAGCCTGTTTCAGAGTCTGTGTTTCGCTCTCTCTGACCCTCCCCTGTTCATGCTGTCTCTCTCTCTCAGAAATAAATAAAAAACACTAAAAAAAATTTTTTTTTAAATTTATTTCTAGGGGAGAGAGAGAGACAGCATGAACAGGGGAGGGTCAGAGAGAGAGGGAGACACAGACTCTGAAATAGGCTCCAGGCTCTGAGCTGGCAGTCAGCACAGAGCCCGACACGGGGCTCGAACCCACGAACCACGAGATCATGACCTAAGCAGAAGTTGGATGCTCAACCAACTAAGCCACCCAGGCGCCCCAAAAAAAATTTTTTTAAAAAGAAAATAATTTTGAATGTTTGCACTCACTATTGCCTTCAGAATCTGTTTATGCCACCCACAGTGAGAAGTTTCTTTATTATTACACATCAACTTTAACCGAAAGAAAAAAATTTTTACCTGTTGGCATAAGTGTTTCTATTCTCAAGGTAACAAGTTTGAAAAGTTCAGCGTTTGTTTGGAGGTGTGGCTTCTGGTTATTTTCTTCAGAAACCAGTCACATTATGTAACTCTACCTTAGTGGGATCAGGAAGACAGGTGGAAACCTTTCTCTTTTTTTTTTAATTTTCTCCTTTTTAAAAAAAAATGTTTTTTAATGTTTATTTTTGAGAGAGACACAGAAGTGAGCAGGGGAGGGGCAGAGAGGGAGACAGAATCTAAAGCAGGCTCCAGGCTTTGAGCTATCATCACAGAGCCTGAGGCAGAGCTTGAACCCAGGAATTCACAAACCTTGAGATCATGACCTGAGCCAAAGTCAGATGCTTAACCTACTGAGCCACCCAGGTGCCCGTCCCTCCTTTAACCTTTCTGCTTTTTCTTTTCAGGCCCTGGATTCAAGGGCAGATGATTCTTGCTGTGAGAAGCAGCAAATTTTATTACCTGTTTTAGTTAGGGTGTTTTTTGGTTGCAAAGGTGTTCATTTCCCAGGGCTGCCATAACAGGCACCATGTGCAGGGTGGCTTAAACAACAGAGCTTTATTGTCTCACAGTTCTGGAGGCTGGAAGTCTGAAACCAAGGTGTTGGCAGGGACATGCGCTCTCAAGAGGCAGCCAGAGGAGGGGCCTTCCTTGCCTTTCCAGCTGCTGTAGCCCCAGGCATGCTTTGGCTCATGGCAGCATAATTAGTATCTCTTTCTCTGCCTTCCCGTCATCCTCTGTGTGTGTGTCCAGATTTCTCTCTTCTTATAAGGACACCATTCGTATTCGATTAGGGTATGACCAGTGGGATCTCATCGCAACTTATTACATCCTCAATGACCCTATCTCCAAGTTAGGTCACATTCTGATGTCCTGGAGGTTGGGATTTCAATATATCTTTCTGGGAGTACATAATTCAACCAATAACAGAAAGTGACAGAAACAAGCTGTACATAATCGAGACAGAAAAGGGACTTTATTGGGGGCGCCTGGGTGGCTTAGTCGGTTAAGTGTCCGACTTTCACTTAGGTCATGATCTCACGGTTCGTGGGTTCGAGCCCCGCGACGGGCTCTGTGCTGACTGCCAGCTCAGAGCCTGGAGCCTGTTTCAGAGTCTGTGACTCCCTCTCTCTCTGACCCTCCCCTACTCATGCTGTCTCTCTCCTAGAAATAAATAAAACATTTAAAAAAAAAAAAAGAAAGAAAGAAAGAAAAGGGACTTTATTAAAGGCCGTGGAGGAATGTGAGCAGCTGTGGGAACCCAGCACCGGAATACATATTCCCTCTCTCTTCAAAGCATTGCCATTAATGTGACTCAATTGTAGCATTTCCCAGATCCCATGTCTCTCCATTCAGATTCTGGGTTCCTGGTAAGAATGTTGAAAGGCTCATCAGTGTGGGTCACATGTTCATTTGGTATCACCTGTAGTGACTGGGGACAGGATCATATCATGCAGACCTACCTGGCTGCTGGGGTGCACTTTCCCCAACCCTCCTACCTACCGAGGCCAAGGTCAGTTCTCAAAAGAAGTGGCAATGACTGTCAGAAGATGTGTCTCCCATACTTCTATAAACGACTCAATAAATCAGGGATGAACTACATACCACCCATTCATTCTGTTGCCAAGGAATCTGGTTTGCTTCTCCTATTTTGTAGAACATCAGCCCTTATACTTGTATAGTTTGGGGGCTTCCACAATAAGAGCTTCTGTATGTGGAGAGAGCGAAGGGGGAGACAGAAGATCATTGATATGATGGGCTCGATGAAATCCTCAGTGTTGTCTGAGTAACCAACACCCACGGACTTTGGTGTAATTGCCAGACTTACAGAGAGTTGTGAGGTCTTAATCAGGATGTCATGACCTCAGTGACTCAGCTACCCAAAGCTTCTCACTCTTTCCCCAATTCACTAGGTGAGAAACTGAGGTCTAGAGGGGTGACTAATTCCCCCAGGCCTCTCAATTGATCGCTCACCTCCTGGATGGCTGCCTGTTAGACAGTGGGCCAACTGTTTGTTTCTCTATGGCTGTCTACTGATGAGGATGTATATGTCTGAGTGTGTGTGTGTGTGTGTGTGTGTGTGTGTGTGTGTGTTATATGTCATATATGATCCACGTTAAACATTCAACTTATTTACATTAGTGGGTAATATTCACAGCATTGCCTCCCATTTCCCCTGACATGTCATCTTCCAGTACAGTGCTTCTCAAATCTTGATGAGAAGGGAGATCACCTAGAGAACTTTTTAAGATGCAGGTTCTGAGTCAGTAGACCAGGGATGAGGACTGAGTTGCTGCATATCTAATTAGCTCTCAGATAAGAACAATGTTCCTCATCCACAGTGTACATTTTGAGTAGCAAGGCTCTAGCTATTGGAGGTGTACTTGAATGTATACGTACGTACACACTTGCCTATATTGTACCTGTGTACAAATGTTTGTGTGCGCGAAATCAAGAAGACACATGTTACTACTTTGGAGACGGAAAAAGCTAAAGCTGAGTTTACTGAAATGCCATCCCATCCCAACACTACCCCTGATCTTGTGCTAAGATGAATCATTTACATCGAGTTTCTGTTCTCTAAAACAGCCATTATTCATAACTTGAAGTTAATGAGTGCATATTGCTCTCCAGACTCCATTTAAATTGCTTGCACATCTCATTGATTCTGAAAACCAATGCCATTTTATTGCCCTCGTTTTGATTATATTTTAGAGGTTTATTGATAATCAAATAAACATGAAAGCAAATACCATAATGGATTTTCTGGTTAGTTACTAAAATGACCGGGGTTTTAAAGTTTTTCCCCAAGACTCCATTATGGTTTCCCCAGAAAGACATTACTTTGCCCTCAATAGAGTAGTGTCAATGAGAATGAGCTGCTCTGGAAAGATCTATCTCACTTATATATTTTCATTTACCATAAAGTCATCTGGATACAGTAAGGAAAACCAGCCTATTAAGATTGCCCTCTGTCTTCCTCTTATTTATTGCCTAAGAGTAAAGTGAACATTTAGATAGAGAAGACTGTTGATAGTGGAAATAATGACTAATAACACTAGGTCTCATTTTTTTTGAACACCTACTTAAATATCAGGCTCTGTATTTCTGTGTTTTACATATATTCATGTTTTGCAAACTGGAATCTGCAGATATGTCTGTAAATTATATTTAAGAATGTGTTAATTTTGCTACTAATCTGGAAGATACTCTCTGTAACCAAAGACCCATGTTGCATTTAAAAGAAAGAAAATGAGGCTAGATCTGGGTTGGCACTGGGATAGACTAATAAGGTGCTTAACTCATCCCCCCCATGTCTCCCCAAAAAGACTAAGAAATAACTTCAGACATCTAGATACATATTTTAATGTAAAATTTTAAAAATCGGGGCACCTGGGTGGCTCAGTCAGTTAAGCGTCTGACTTCGGCTGGGGTCATCATCTCGCAGTTTGTGAGTTTGAGCCCAGAGTCGGGCTCCATGCTGAAAGCTCAGAGCCTGGAGCCTGCTTTGAATTCTGTGTTTCCCTCTCTCTCTCTGCCCCTCTCACACTCGTGCTCTGTCTCTCTCTGTCTCTCTGTGTGTGTCTCTCTCTCAGAAATAAATATAAAAAAATATTTTACTCAAAATTCATGCAAAAAGATCATGATGAACAAAAATACCAACATTTTAAGTAGAGACAAGATTCGACTCTATACTTGGGCAACTCAGCCTCACTCAACTCCCCATAATCCCAGACATGCTACAAGCTTTCCATAGTTAAAAATGTCTGAATTTAAATTTCTAGCTATGTGACCTTAAATAAGTTACTCAACCCTCCTGATTCCTATTTTCTCATTCTTACATTAAGGTTATCATGGTACCTACCTACCTACCTACCCACCTACCAGGATTTCTGTCAAAATTAAATGAGATTAGATAGAAGCAGCACCAAATGTGAAGTCTGGTCTAGAATAAACATTTCACTTCTCTTCTTCCTCTTTAAGAGATCCCTCTACAAAGCCAGCATATGAGATTTTATGTGGCCGGCTTTATAGTATGAGCACCTAATCTGTCAATTTTATCCTTTTGATTCCACAGAGCAACAAGAAGGCTGAGGTCCTTAACCCCATGATCACTAGTGTATTGTTAGAGGTAAGTGGCCCCCAAAGAGAAAGTGCTTCTGAATCAAAGCAAATGTTAGAGCTACTTTTTTTGTTTGTCTTTTTCCCAGGCAGCAAGTGTTATTCCAATTCTAAATCTTATCATCAACAGTCGCTTTTGAGCACATTTGTGTAGCTCAGCCAGCTGTAAACCCTTGGGTGAAGCAACAATACCTAATTTTCAAGAATTCCTGATTATAAAGAGAAGTGCTAAGCTTGCACATTATTTTTGTTGCTGTTTCCTTTAGCAGAAGCACATTTCTGCTGCCAAGTTTGACACCAGATTTAACACTGTGATTATTGGCTGCAATAAGGGATTCTTGCTCAATGGTGATTTTTGTAAAAATGAGCACTTCTCTCCATTCACGATAACCTTTGGTTTAGCCAGGTCTCCGCTTCAGACTAGCAATATTGACAAGTTGACTCTTTGGCCTCTGCCCGTTCAGTGACCAGAGGCACTGTCCTCAGAGACCACTCACCAGGTCTTTGTAACACTGATATGAAGCTGTCCCGATACTGCCGTGGTTTTGCCAGAAGAGGTGATGGAAGAGAGAAGAAAGGAGGGCCCGGAGGCCGCATTCTCGAGTCGTAGTCACTGTGTTCTACCTGTGGCTGGTGGAGGAAAACCTTCCATTAGGGGCCCAGCTATAAAGACCTGGCACATCTATAGCCCCAGGACACCCAGCCAAAGCCACAGGTGTTAACAAGTTTGAACATGGGCAATGTATATACAGTAGTTTTTTGTTGTCTAAAGTAGCTGTCAATTGCAGGGTTTAGAAATTACCAAATTCAAGTCAGGGAAGGCTACCTATATATTTATAATATTTGTAGGAATTGTGCCTTACTGTTAGGGAAAACTACCAAGGTACAAAAGTAACAAAGTGGTGGGATCAAGTGTTAGCATTTAGGACACAGCCACACAGTGGGATGAAGTCAACCAGAGGGGACGAGCTGCTATAGGGACAGGTTCTGGAGGACACAGCTAAGAGGAAAGTCAGGCAGTCAGAGGCAGAATATGGAATCAGAAAATGTCTCCCCTGGCCACCCAGAAGCCATCGACAGATTAATTTACTATGTCAGTCATGAAGAATATGAGGTCAAGTGTTTATTTATTTCCCCAGTGGGAGTTTTCTTATGTTTTAGTGACCTGAAACATTAGCCTCTCTACCCACTGCTGTATGTAAGAATGCCACAGAACATGAATGGCACATCAAATATCCAAACCGAGTGGAAAGTACCCACATACATTCAAGGATTTGCCGTGAATGATTCCACAGTACTATCTCCAGTTAACTTTATGTAGCCCATTCTTGCTTATTCATCTATGGGCTAGGGCAAACTAGAGCTTCCTTCACACTGTGCTTTTGTGCTATTTCAGGACAGGGGGCTGGTCTGGGAGAAGAATAGGGAAGACGGGACATACAAGGTCATGAATATACACATATCGATGTCCTCCAAGTCCTCCAAGTCCATGACTTGCCTCATGTTAAATGAATTCTTCTCTCTAGGAGTATAGATAATTAAGAGCTGAATGCATTTTATCCAAAGGAAAGTGTTTACAATTGCTTCAAGCACCAGCATTAAAGGGAAGATCTTGTAAACTATTGTGAGGTTTGCAAAGAGGGACCATAATCAAACTAGAAGAACTGTCAAGGTTGAATTCTGAAAACCACCCTTGAGCCACATTTCTCCCTTCTCCCAGGGCTGCAATAGCACTACCTACATCCAGGACGCCTTCCAGCTGCTGTTGCCTGTGCTGCAGGCGTCACACATCCAGACCAGTTGTTCGAAAGCACAGCCGTGACCTGGCCACCCGCCCATCTAGGGAAAGAAACAGGCAGGCCATGTTGCTTTGTTACATACCAGTGGAAGATGTTCTCTGAGCATCTGGCCACAGACACCCTTTTGAGGACTCTACAAGCAATTTTGCACACACAGTATGGAGAACGCAAGTTGAGAGGGAATTCTCTTAATGCATATGGTTGTTTTTACAAATAATTGTGTTTCCTTTGTTAATTTAAGTTTACACGGCTTTATATTGATAGTTTCCTTTCATTTGAAGTTGATTCACCAATATTCAATTCCAGTTTCCTGGTCAAGCATGCTATATTTAGAAATTCATGGGTAAATCCTAGACTTTTTATTTAATCCTTTAAATTCCCACCTTTAAATGTCCCATTCTTATGGTATTACTTTAAATCAAATCTTATGCTAAACTTAGTTTTGTTATATAAATATCATGGGCAAAGATAACACTACTTATAGATATTACCTATTATAGTGAAAGAGAAATGTAAGTATCTCTTTATAGTAATTCATTCTGAAAACAAGCCTTCGCTGAACTCCAACTGTGTGTTCACATTAGAGGAACATGATCTCAACCCAGTAAAGGCAGATACTCTGAGTAATCTTTATGCCTAATGTGGGGCTCAAACTCACAACCCTGAGATCAAGTTGCGTGCTCTACCAACTGAGCCAGCCAGGCGCCCCTAGATAGATGCTCTAAAAGAGGGTTTACAATAATCCTTCAAATGCTTAAAAACACTAATAAATTTCCCAGACCTTAAAAGATTTGACGAGCAAGGTAAAACTAGTGTTTTTTTTTAATGTTCTGTTCTTCTATGTATTCTTGTATTTTTCTACACTACGTGGGCTTTTTGATCCCCAACTTTATATATGAGGTGAAAAAATATATGAAACAGCAGTACTAAAGAGTATTCCATTTAAATTAGGCTTTTTTGTGACCATAAGTACATGATAGCATAATTACAAAGCCTGAAAATATCTGAAGAGAAAATTAAAGGGATTTCATCACAACAGACCCCAAGACTGCATCTTTAACTCTGAGTCAAGCTATTGTATAAATACACAGATCACACTCCCTAGTGGAAAACACCATCATTGCTTCTAAAGGGCAGAAAATATTGATGTGGGGCTTGACTAACTGGTAGATTGTTCCATGACAGATTGCACAGAAGACCCTGGGGCCAGGAGAGGCATTGCCTGTGAGCACTTCTCCTGAGCTCCATACACTCATTCGGGTGGGGGTTCAGCTGAGCCCCGTCAGCATCCTGACAGGCATTGTCACAAGATGTCTTACTCCATGGTTCTCTCTAAGGCAAATGAGGCTTGTACTTATAGGGGTGAAAATCCTTCACATTTGCTTTAATTCCCCTGATAGAGTAGACTGCCTGTGTTCCATACAGGCAAAGTAGGAATATTTTAATATTATCCTATGTCTTATTAGCATTTTATTTGTGTCCCATATTTCACTTTGTGTATCTCCTGAAACAGCCAAATAGAAAACATAAGAATAATTATTTACAATCTTGAAAAGAACTCTCTGAGGAATCAATTAAAGATTTTTTTCTATTGTTTTTTGATTGCCTGAAATGTTTCTGATATTAAGTCTAGAGAACAATTAACTGCTGAAAATGCAATTACCTCTTCATAAATTTTGTAGGTATTATGTATAGAACGGAGGAAAAATCAGATTTGCAATGTCTCCACATCAGATTTTTTAGCATCAGATGGATTTTTTAGATGTTAACTGGAAATGTAAGAGACACAAGTATTTTCAAAGGAACTAGATTCCCAGAAATAAGCTTTAAGCCCAACTTCACCCATATAGTTTATAGCAAAATTTTTAATCGTAAAACGAAATAGAAATCTGTAAAAGAATAAAAGAGATAATTATTCTTTCAAAAGTGGTTGACATTATTTACATTGCATTTACATATCTTTTAATGATGGAATATCAAAGGTTGCCAGGGAGAAACATGGGCAGACAGATGATTCCTGGGGCCTAGCTCAATGGTCGTGAATTACATTTAACAGAGAATAATCACTTAAAATATATCCACCCTCCAGGATTGCTCTCTTTCAATACTGTTTTTCATCATCACTTTTAAATAATTGCTTCTTTGCTTTGCTTTCAAACCTAGCAAAGCTCAGGATCCAGATCTGGGCAAATGTCAATCAGTTACTGAATGAATGATTTAGCAGGCTGACTTTGGAAGTTTTATATTCCTTCAATAATCCTTTACATAAATTGGGTTCGTTTCACTCTATGCAATTACCCTGAACAAATGTGCCCGTTTTTTTTCTTACATCAAGTGCAAACTAAGTTCCAGTCTAAATAATGAATATAGTCCTGGGCCTGTGCCTTATTAAATAAAAAACATCAAAAGCATATTTCCAATTCAAAGCAAAATGCGTCCAAGAAAAATTGCTTTGGGGTATTGATACATACAGCTCTAAAGGGTAAAATTCAGCCCCAAATCTTAAAGCAGAGGCGTAAGCTTAAATATTCTATCCCACTGAGAAGAGAATTCTGTCTTTTCTCTGGGCTTCACACTGGGCTGCACATCACACTCGTGATTCAGTGAATGGTGTGACAAGCTGAGGCTGTGGCCAGAGTGAGCTGTGTATGCAGCAGCCTCAGCAACACCAACTAAGGAACCATGGACCTCAGCAGCAGGGCTCAAAGGGGATGAAGAAGCACCAGCTCTGAGTGGGTTAAAGGAAGATGCTAAATGTAGGGTAGAAGTCTGAACCCAGAAATGAGAGCATTTCCTGTGCTTTGTAGAAGTCAGCTGACCCACCAGGAGCTCTTCTATCTGGGAAATCACCTTCTCCACGGGCCGCCATGCTGCACTTAAGTTAGAAACAAGAGCAGGCAGATTTCAGTCAAAGCCATCCTAGAGGCCTAGGGAGAACATCTTAGGGAAGTGATTTAGCAAAACTGCAAAATAAGTCTATTTCTCTTCTTTCCTAAAAAAATAAAGAGGGAGAGATTAGATGGATAGATGATAGAGTGTATGCTGAACAGATGGGGTGGATCATAATACATGATAGCAATCCATGTTTAATTTTGTAAGTGTAATTACTCTTCAGTGTCAAGGTAATTTTTATAATGTAAAAATTGCCCTTTGATCTTCCTCTTAAAGATGCCCTACATTCTGGGGGCACCTGGGTGGCTCAGTCAGTTTAGCATTCAACCTCAGCTCAGGTCATGATCTCTCCATTCTTGAGTTCCAGCCCTGCAATCAGGCTCTGTGTGGACAGCTCATACCCCAGAGCCTGTGTTAGATTCTATGTCTCCCTCTCTCTCTGCTCCTTCCCTGCCCATGCTGTCTCTCTCTCTCCTTCAAAAATAAACATTAAAAATGTTTTTAATGAAAAAAAATTTTAATTTAAAAAGGATGTCCTACGTTCTGATACTTAGATCCAGGCTTCAGCTTGGTTTCTGAAATGACTGTGTTTGTGAAGGCACATCAGAAGAGATTACACTGAAAACCCATCTTAGAACTGCAGTTTTGCCTCCACAGCCTCCCTTCACATAAAACAAAAAAATCACGTGGTTCACCATTTGTTTTATTTTTCTAGATATGCCATAATTTATTCAGGTTTATGTTCATTTTCTGTATGCTCACCCATAAGAGATGCTCCTCTACAATTTCCACTATTAAACAGATCTGAGGAGAGACATCATTCTTTTCATCTTTTTTCTTTTTTCTTTTTTTTTTTTTTTTTTGCTTAGATCTCAAAATAATCTGAGTTATCCTACCCTTTGAGCATCTTATCTTTAGTGGTGATGAAATTATTACAACCCGACAGTAAGAAATGGTGTTTTTGATATTTCTGGCATCTTGGGTCATCATCGACTGGGCACAGAAGATGAATATAGTCAGCGTTTTGTGTTGGGATTTAAGCTACATTTACCTTTGTGTGGATCAGAGAATATTTTCCTCTGCATGAGTTGTCAGCCAAAAAGCAATGGGATTACGTCTGCCTTTGGTCACTGCTGACTCACTTGACAGGCCTGTCCCTTCTATTAGTCTCAAAGGACTTGTATACTGCAGAAGAATAACATGTACATTTTTTATATGCCTGCACTGAGTACAGAATTTAGGGTGATTCAGAGATGATCTATCTCCCTGCCCTGGGTTTCACCACCGGGCTTCTAGAGCTGCCTCTTGGAGGAAAATGCCGGCATAGAAGCCAAGGCCAGATGGATGGAGCCTTGGCAAAAAGCAAAGCTAAGCCTCTGCCTTTGAGTCCCTGCCATCTTTATCCTTTTTCTTTTTCAGGATTTTTTTTTTTTTTTTTGACAGTTAGTTAGGGCCTCTCTTCCAGGATCAGCTTTTACGTCCTGCCTCTCTTTTCTATATCTCTTCTTCCCTTTCCCTTTCTCTACATTTATGCTATCCTTTTCCCAATTATCTCATCAGAAAACAGTCCATCCAAAAGATTTCAATAATAATTAACATGTATTTACCATGTGCGGGACACTGGGCTGAGTGTTTTGTAAGCATTATCCCATTTAATCTCCATAATTCCCCTATCGGGTAGATATTATCACAATCTCCACTGACCAAATGAGAAGAACACTTGAGACACAGAGACATTATATAATTCATCCAGTGTTATACAACTAGTAAAACAGAGCCAGGATTCAAACCCAGGGCAGTTTGACCTGACTAGCTAGCACCTGGAAGTACTATACACAGCCTCCAAACAAAAGAAACATAATCTGTTATTTTTAGAGACTTCTGAACACTTGCATGTTTAGCTCTCCTTGCACGGTGAGGTGGATTTGTAACTGAAAGGTTTGGTTGTTTCTGTGCAACTGAGGACAAACTGGGACTGAAGAGACAGAGAATGAATCCACACAAGGTCACCCCTGGATTATTCTCACCCTAGGGTAGCCACATCACCACTTCACAGACATTTACATCAAGCAGCTTCCTGGCCATCAACCCAGCATCCTGTCTCACAGGTGCTTTTCATATGTCTAAAATGGCTCTATTTCCTCTCCCCCCCCCCCACCCCTTTCCCTGGTGCCAGGGAAACTCGTTAGTAAATCACCACCCTTCCTGAAAATCCTTAACCCTCTACTATCTGCCTGGAGTATCAGGACTTTTTCATGTTTTCCTTGCCCTGAAGATTACCGACTCATCTAGGCAGCTGTTTAGCTGAATCTTTAGTACCAGGTGCTGTGAAATAGTAATAAATGTTTTAACGATGTACTAAATAATGCCTTCTTGTCTCTAAACTTGGTATTGTTCTCTACAAAGCCCAAGAAATGATGGTGGTGATGGTAGTAGTGGTGGCATTCTAATTTATTGAGTACTTACTATGTTCCAGACACTTTACCTCTGTGATCTCATTTAATCCCCAATGTCAGTCTTATGAGGTAGCTACTACTATCATACCCATTTTACAGATGATAAAGAAAGCTCAAAGGGATTACAGAATCTATGTTTATCCAACTAATAACTGGAAGCGCTAGGATTTATGTCCAGGCAGTATATAAAATGCTAGACAGAGCCCGTGGACAAGCAGACACCTAGTCACAAAAGGGACATTTTCCCTTGGCTTGAGTTCTCTTCCAGCCAGCACCTGGGCTCTTTTCTTCCCATCCTGTGGCTCCAGGCAGAGATCATTTGTTCCACAAATCTCCCTGTCAGAGGCCTAACCACATTTTTTCCTGCCAGTGCCTCTGATCCCAAGAGAAGGTGGGCAAACTGTACATCCCATTCTCTCTCATGTGATAAACCTCATATTGAGCCATCCATTTCTCACTGAAAACAATGATTGCCTTCTTTGACACTTCTGCAGCAAAGCTCTGGTTTGCTATCTTTGCAAAAAAATATTCCACAGCTAGGAAATGTGATAAAGGACAAGAAATCAAATGATGAACTGCAGGGCAGAAAGACTGGCCATTTCTGTCAGAAAGAATTACGTGGTCCTAGAGGGCATCTCCGTCAGTGATGTGTAGGATCCTTTCATTCCAGACAGCCTCCCAGCTCCTCCCTCACTGTTCCAGGTCTTTATTTAAAATCAACCTTCTCAGCAAGGTCTCTCCAGGTCAAATTGCAGCCTTCCCAATATTTTATATCCCCTTTCCCTCCTTTGTTTTTTTTTCCCCATAGGATGTATCATTAGCTAACATCCTTTGTATCTTACTTGTCTATTATCTGCCTCTTGCACTAGGAGGTAAATTCCATAAGACACAGATTTTTTTTGTCTATTACCACATTCCCAACACCCAAAACTGGTGCTTGGCACATAGTAGGTGCTCAGTAATTATTTGTTGAATGACCAAATACATCCAAGTCTATAAATACTGAATGAGAGGATGGAAACAACCATATTATAGGCCAATTAATGAGAAAATGTCTGGTTGAGTTACATTATAAAATGTTCACTATCGAAGTAATTGTGTTCATTTTAATGGTATTTGATGTTGTGGGATAAATGGATATGATTTGGAGGCTTAGAAATATATAAATGTTTTTCCATTAAAGTGAATGGAATTTACATTTTTTACTTAGAATTCACTCTAGAAGAGATTTGTCAAGACTCTTTGTCAGGCACGGTAGACTATGGTGAAAAATTAAAGTCACCAATGGGCCCCTGGGTGACTCAGTCAATTAGGCATCTGGCTCTTGGTTTTGGCTCAGGACATGATCTTACAGTTCATGAGATCAAGCCCTATGTCGGGCTCTGCGCTGACATCATGGAGCCTACTTAGGATTCCCTCTCCTGCTCTCTCTGCACCACCTCCCCCCTCACTTGCACAATCTCTCTCTCCAAAAATAAATAAACATTTAAAAAGAATTAAAACCAGAACACCCGGGTGGCTCAGTCAGTTGAGTGTTTGACTCTTGATTTTCGCTCAGGTCATGATCTCACACTTCAAGCCATGCATCAGGCTCTGCACTGACAGCCTAGAGTCTGCTTGGGATTCTCTCTCTCCTCTTTCTCTGCTCCTCTACCACTCCCATGCTCATTCTCTCTCTCTCTCTCTCTCCCTCAAAATAAATAAATAAATAAGCTTTAAAAAATTAAAACCACCTAAATAAGTTAACTACGGTATACCAATGCTATAGAATAATATGCAACAGTTAAAAAGAATAAAAGAATGAGGCTTAGTCATTTTGGACTGGTATAACAAATACAGCATAGACTGGGTAGCTTAATGCACAAACATTTATGTCTCCAGTTCTGGAAGCTGGGCAGTCCAAGATCAGGGTGCCAACAGATCCATTGTCTTGAGAGAGCCCACTTCCTGGTTTGCAGATGGCTATCTTCTCATTTGATCCTCACATGGCAGAGAGCAGAGAAAGAAAGAGCCAAGAAACAAGCTCTCTGAGTCTCTTCTCATAAGGGCATTGGTCCCATTCACGTAAGAGGGTTCCCCTCTTACAGCCCAAGTACCTCCCAAAGCCCCATTTCCAAAACACTGGGATTAGGCTTAAACATATGAATTTGGGGGGGACACAAACATTCAGTTCATAGCAGGATGGAATAGACCTCTGCACTAACAGATCTCCAAGATGTATTATCGAGTGCAAAAAGAAAGTCGTAGTATGGCACTTGTAGAAAATTTATCTAAAATAGCACACACCCCACATCCCTAAAGAAGATCTAGAAAGATACACATATAACTATAACAATGTTTGCAACCAGGGGTGGAAAGGGTTGTGATAAGGTAAAGGAGAACCTCAGAATTTGGCATAGTGATTAAAGGGGACTCCAGTGTTATTTGTAATAATTAAATATTTTTATAATGAAAATGTGTTAATGGATGGCTCCTGTAACAACATTTTTAACAATCAAAACAAGAAGCAAAAGAAGGTTGCTTCCGATCAGGGAGGTAAGGGGATAGGACCCTGCCAGTGACTTCAAGCATAAAACATACAAATTATTTTTCAATAGAAGAGCCAGAAGTGTGAGTGAGGGCGTCTGCATGATTCGGATTTCTTCATCATCAATATTACTATAAGGTTCTAAGACAAATTTGATGACTATTCAAATTTATTTTTCCTTTCTTCAGAGAAGCCTGACCCAAGTATTCCAAATGCATAGTTTGTAAAGACTTTGATGATGTAAACAGAAAAATTTGTCATTTCCATCTCATTGGAGAAGGACACCAACTTTCTTAGCCAGATAGTCTCTATAATCTTTTTACTAAACCCGAACAGCTCTGAGATACATA